TTAAAGTTGAGGGACCAAATTTAGCATTTAACCAAAGATTAATTATAATATCATGTTAACAGAAACAACAAACAAGGAGGTTTTATTTAATTCTCTAACATTCTTCTACAGATTGCCTGATATAATATTCAGATTTCTGCGAATTAATCCCCCAACTCACAATTTAATCATTACCGAACTTGAATATTCATGATCAATTTTTTAATTTACCTGGTGCTTTTCTCTTGAAGATTTGTGCTGCAATGTGTATGAGTTTAAATGTTATTGGAGCAGCATGGAAGGATTTTTGTAGATTAGATGTCATAGAAATGGAGAAGATGGGATGGTTGGAGAGAGGTTTTAGGTTAGAGGAGGAAGATGGAAGCAATGTGAATTTCTAAATGGACGAATGGTTGGAGATGGAAGTGTAGCTAACAAATTTCCAAGACTTCTTTGGCTATCTGCAGGGAAAGACAAGAAGATGAATCAAATGGGGACGTGGGACAATGGAGAATATGTGTATGGAATTCACGGTTAGGTATAATCTCTTTAAAATTGCAATCATGTTAATGGTTGGTAACTTTGGGTAATCTGCATTATTTCTCTGGCAGTCAGCCTACTGTGTATCGAGAACCACAATTGGACATAAAGAAACTTAGGGATCCAGAGGAATTCTTTGAAAGGCATTATTATGAACTGACCCCATTTCATGTTTGCCATGTAGCTGCACAGGAACGGACAGGTGCTGTTCTTATGGATTGGGATCTGAACAATCTATCCATGAGTGAACGACCTCGTCAGTTGTGGAAAGTAATAGCAAGCCCACCGGTTGAGCTCGCACGAGCTGGAGAACGAGTCTTCTATTTTCCGTAAGGACACATGGAACAAGGGAATGTTTGTGTTTAAATTCAAATTTCTATCTTTAGATGCGGTAAATTATTCCATTTATTTATGGGAATGATTCTCGTGTTTGGAATTGGGGATAGATTCAATATTCAAATATGGGCATTCTGGTTGGGATTGTATTGTAGTTGGTGGCGTCCATGAATAAAGAGATGAATCAAAGGATTCCGCTGTTCAATCTTCCATCCAAGATTCTTTGCTGCGTTATTAACATTCACTTTGCTGGTATTCTCTTTTTTCTAGTTTTTATGTTATGTTTTAGTTTCTGGGGAATAAAAAACAAGAAATGTTTTTGGATCCTATGTTCTT